TTGCCCGTGGGTTTGTTCAGAGTTGACCTGACAGTGAGGAGGAGCAGGCAGGAGCCATGCCCAGCCCTCCATAGCCCCTGCCCACTGCCAGCGCTCCTTCAAGAAACAATCCAGGGAGGCAATACCCCCCAGGAGCAGGGCCCGCCACTAGAAAATGCCTCACAGCCAAGCCCAATGGGTGCCCCTTTGACACCGGTACAACCCTCCCACCACCCAGCCTGTAACAGAAGCCACCTGAGTCTTCGCATTGTGGGGTGGTGCAAAGCTAACCTGCTGGGCTGCCAACCGCAAGGCTGGAGGTTTGAGTCCACCCAGGGGGTCCTCGATTGTGACTGCACCCCTCCTGTTCCCCCCACCCCCTCACCCCCCACCCCCAGGCCCTGATCTAATGCTGCTTCCTGCCACGCTCGCACTATTGTGCATCTCCCCCTGACCTTCCCTCCCAGGTTGGACTCCACTCTGGCTGGGTCCAGACCTGACACCAAGAATACTTGGGTCACCTGTAACATTAGCTTTAAACTTCACCTGCTCACGCTAAATCACACCCCATCTCTCACCTCTCCCACTGGGATTTCTCCTTAAACTATCTGGGAGTCTCCTTTTCGGGTTCATCCCAGCCCCTCCATCACAGACTTGGAAGGGGTAGCTTTTGCTAGAAGATGCGCAAGTTGCCCGCCTGTAGGCTTGGAATGACACTCTGCTCTGTGCTCCTTCCCCACCTCTGGGCTTGGATGGGAGTCCCCTGGGAGGTGACCTGACAGCATGGCTCCCTCTGTGGGGCTTCCCAGGGCCTCCCGCAGGACACTGTCTGTTCTCATCCTGGCATCCCTCAGGCCCACCTCAGGGTACACGTCCACCTTGGTCTATCTAAATGGCAAAAGGGAGCTTGAGGGCAAGCACCTAGACATGGAGTGTACCGAGCAGGGGGCTACAGAAGAGGCGAGGGTGCCCATGGCGGGGGCAGTATGCTTGGGCCCTGTACGCTCCTGCTGGGGATGCCATGAGTGCTCGATCCTGCCTGCTCTTCACCTGGGGCTTCTCAAGCTGAGGTTGCAGCGATCACCCTTAAAGGAGGACCAAGCTTTGCCCCCCCAGGCCACCTGCAAACCCAGCAGTGGCCCCCCCAAACTCAGCGTTGTTCAGCAGCAACATAGACCCATTGGGTGTGAAACGTGTACTGGGTGCCTTTGTGGTGCCCCCCCTCCCCCGCTCCATGGGGCTCCAGGGGCAAGAAGAACTGAGTGCAATGTGATGGTCATGCTCTTGGCTATGCTGTGAGGTCAGCAGTTCAAACCCACCAGCCACACCGAGGCAGAAAGATGAGACTGCTCCCATAAAGATTTACAGTCACAAGACCCCAAAAGTACTGTTCTACCTACAGGGTGGCTATGACCTTGCAGTTAGCAGCTAACTCATACCTGGGGCTCCCGTGGGCAGTTTACAAAGAGAGTAAAATCCCAGGCTAAAACCCAATTCAGTTCTGATGCACGGCGACTCGCTAGGGCAGAGAACCGCCCCATGGGGCTTCCACGGCAAGGGTCTCTGAGAATTGGAACGCCGTATCTTTTGCCCTGGAGCAGTTGATGGGTTCAGCTGGCCAGCTTTCTGTTAGCAGAGGCGTGCTACCAGAGCGCCTCAGGAGCCCCGAGTAATCTGTTAATAATGACTTCCATTTGGTTATTAAAAAAACAAACCAAAACACGCTCACTTCCATTGACTCAATGGTGACTCATAGTGACCCTACAGGACGGGGTGGCACTGCCGCTGTGCCCCTCAGAGTCTGTAACTCTTTACAGGAGTAGAAAGCCCGTCTTTTCCCTGCAAAACAGCGGGTAGTTTCAAACTTCTGACCTTGTTTTCGGCAACCCAACGTGTAACCATTACACCACTGGGCCCCACTATTTTGTTAATCAGAGCAAACCCCCCCAAACCAATAAAAAACAAACTCACTGCCATTGAGTTGATGCTGACTCATAGAGACCCTATAGGACATGGTAGAACTGCCCCTGTGAGTTTCTGAGGCAGTAACTTTCAGTGATCATTAATTGACCAATACATAAATCCAAACCACCTCAAACTCATTGTCATCAATTGACCCTGACTCATAGCACCCCTATTGGACAGAGCACCACGCCGAGAAGCCCAACCCATAACCACTACACCACCGGAGCACCTTCTTTGGGACAGAGTAAAGCAGACTGCCTCATCTTTCTCCTGGGGAGTGTTTGTGGGCTTGACCAGGGATCCCAACCAGTATGCTGAGTATCGGGGTTGACAACGTAAACAGTCATCTAACCCTTTGAAGCAGATGTCGCTAGTTCATAAACGAGGAAACAGAGGCAACAGCCAAAGACATCCGGTCAGTGTGTGACCTCGAGCCCAGCACCCGGATCCAATTCCTAGGATTCTTCTCTGAGGGAGGATAGGACAGCGAGGCAGACAGGCTGTGGGCTAGGGGAACTTGGGGGCCGAGGCTGAGAAGGAGGCAGGATCACTCTAGTGTAACCCTCAGGGGGAGCCCCTCTCCCTCTCCTTCCCCCTCCTGCTCTGGCCAGCCTCTCTCTCTCTGCTGGACTCGTGACTCCAGCACACTAAGCCCTACTCATGTCTATCCTTTTCCAGAGCCTCCCCCCTTTGTATTTCTGGAACCTTCTTTCCTCGACTTTTTGGGTCCAGCTGCATTCTCCTCCTTCCTGCCACTTCTGGTAAGATCCAAGAGTAAGAGGATCTACAGGCATTCCCACATGGTGGCGCTGGGCAGTCTAATTTCAATGCGTTGCTCAGCCACCTTGGCTCTGCATCTGTGGGTGGTGATTTAAGCTCCCTTGTGCAGAATGGAGGTGTCGATGGGGCTGGTGCGGTGAGGACTGAGGAACGGTCGCAGTGAGGTGCTCAGCACAGAGGCTGGTCCAGGACAACACCCGCCTCTCACTGCCGCCTGGCAGATACCATCAAAAGCTTCTTGCACATTGCTATTCAAAGGACTCCAGGGGCCAGCAAAGGAAGGAGAGATGAGCAGGCAGCTGGCTGTACAGTCCCAGGGAAGCCCAGGGAAGGAGCAGCCCAGCCTGGCCAGGAGGGGTCACTCACCGCAGAACCATCATGTAGAGGGGGTTGTGGGCGATGCAGGCTATCAGGGCCATAAAGGAGAAGAGGAAGATGGTGGGGAGCAGGTAGTGGGCACAGGAGATGGGGCAGGACCCCGAATTTGCTGAGCCGGCTCCGTCAGCCACACAGTGGCACTTCAAATAGACCTAGAAGAGGACAAGTCGGCAGTTAGCATTTCACCTCTGTGCCCATTCTTGCTAGACACTCCCTCAGGTTCCAACCCCTCTGCTCTCCATGTCCCCTAGGGGTCACCTAGATCCAGGCGAGGCTGGAGGCCAAGGTAGAAGAGGAGGCTGGGTGAGAGTTTCAGGGTGCTCCATGGGTCCCACCTCTGATCCTATAGACTAGCAGTTCTCAGCCTGTGGGTCTCCACCCCTTTGGGAATCGAATGGCCCTTTCACAGGGGTTGCCTGATTCATAACAGTAGCAAAATGACAGTTATGAAGTAGCGATGAAAATAATTTTATGGTTCGGGGGTCACCACGACATGAGGAACTGCATTAAAGGGTTGTGGCTTTAGGAAGGTTGAGAACCGCTGCTATAGATGCTGCCATCCAGCTTGGGCCCGAGCTCCTCCAGCAGTTTCTGCCACATCGAGCTGTCCAGCCATGGCCCAGGGCTCTCCTCTGAGCCAGGCCACTCTCTACCCGGCCACACTGGAGTGTGGGGGGTGGTTTTTGCTGTTCGTGTGTCTGCTGCAGGGGAAGGTATAAATCCAAGGTGAATAACAATGGAAACATGATAATGCCCCTTGGGCTCTGAATCCATACGGCCTTTGCTGCAGCCTCCTGTCTGAGAGCAAGTCCTGCTGCCCATAGAGAGGCCCAGGGAAGGGCCTCAAAATCAGAACGGCCACAGGGCTCAGCACTTGTGTGGATTACCATGGTGGCCACTGCTGATGGCCCAGGGTCCTCACCCTCCTTCTTGCAGAGCCCGATGGTCCACCCTGTGACCATTTCAGTGCCATGGTACTTGAGGGATCAGAATGGGAACGGATGAGCTGATATGCTTCCTTTAACCAAATGACAAGTACGATGCACCCTCTTTACCCTGGCTGCTAGGAAGCTCAGAGGTAAATGATGGACAGTCTGGCAATACTTTCTCTTCATCTAGATTTGTATTGTATAGATTATTTTTCCTTAAAGTGTATTAGATTCCCCCCCCCCTCTTTATTATCTGCTGCTAATGGATTTGGGTCTTGTATGCTGGTACGATTCTTAGAAAACTCATCCAAATTATTTCTGCAAGTAGATGAGTCAGAGGTGAGTAAATAACAATAAGAAAACCACAGACACCACCACAGACTCCTCCAGCTTGGAACTCCTTGTGTTCCTTCTGTCAGACGTGGTTGTGGGAGGAGCCCTGACCAGTCCTCTCAGGGGGAGCTGGTAAACCGGGCTAGTCTTGCGCATGCCCTCCACATAGGCTTAAGGAAATGAGATGTGTTCTGCTCCGGGGGGAGTCCTTAGGGACTCACAGACTTCCCACGACTCCTAGAAAACTCACCCTGGGCCTGGCCTATTCAACTTCGTCCCACCTGCCTCCCTGACCACGCTGTTGTGTCATTCACCCGGACAGCCCCCGTCTCTTAGAGTGTGCAGTGGCCATTTCATTTGCATTGCACTCAGAGGGTCAGGATTGGAACTGGTGAGCAGGAAAGCCTCCTTCTATTCGAGGGTGAAAACTGTGTGCCCTTTTTACCTTGACTGCTGGGAAGCTCGGAAGTTAGTTCTGGACAAGATGGCTGCAACCCCCGATGTTGCTCCCCATCGGGCACACTGATCCTGCCCTTCTCTCTCCTGGGGCATACCCAGCTCATTCATGGCCTGAGGCCTTGCACGTGCTATGCCCTTCACCTGGAATTTATCCCTCCCAGCCCTTCGAAGGGGCTTCTTGGATGTTGTCTCCTCGAGGAGACCTTCCCTGACCTCCAGCCTCAAGAAGGCTCCCAGGCGCCCTGGCTCATTGCTTTTCTGACGTATTTGTTTGTTTGTCGAGCTGGTTTGTTGCTGGCCGTCTGGAAGGTGGGAGCCACAGCGAGCATGACAGGATGGAGAGGACCCCATCAATGAGCGGCAGTGAGTGTGGGCTGATGGCTACACAAGGCTAGGCAATGCCACACCTTGAAGGGGAGAGCCTGGCACTGAGCTGGGGCTCCGGGTGCCCATCTCAAGACTACACTAAATAGCGCTAACTTCAGCCAGCTGAGTGGCCTCATCTGGGATCAGAAGGGTTCAACCAAATACCGTCTACTCTGGTTCCTGGCTTTTACTTTAATGCCCACACCTTAGAGGGCTTCTGCCATTGATGGCTTTGCAACATGGCTACAAGGATTGGTCAGGACGAGGCTCGAAGGCCTTGGTTGAAGAAGTGCTTTGGCCTGTGTCTGCTCTGGGCATTGTTGGGTGACTGGCATCTGAATTTGTGGACAGCATTGTCTTTGGGCAGTGGCTATCTGGTCATGGCCCTAGGCAAAGAGCAGAGGGTGTTACTCAGAGGAGGCCAGCCAGGACAGGATGAGGGTAATGAGAGAGAGAGAGAGAGAGAGAGAGAGACCCTGCCCTTCCCTGAGCAGGGACACAGTTGGTGACAGAGAGCAGCCTCCCCCCGCCTCCAGGCCCCAGCTACCCTCACCATTTGTTTGGAGGCAATGTAACTGCTGTTGATCTGGGTGCAGCCGGCATGGCACGGGGAGAGGTACTCGATCCCGTTGTCGCCACAGACAGGGTGGAAGAAGGAATCTGGGCACGAGCAGTCCCTGCGGCAGGCGAGAGCCTGTGGATGTATAGTACTTGATGTGCTGCCAGCAAAACAGGAAACGGGAATCAAACAAGGCAAGACCAAAGGGAAAACTCCGCTCTCCAGCCCAGTGTGCGCCCCAGGCCTGCTGAACGTGCCTGCGCGTCTGTGTTTGTTTTGGGCGCGGGCCACTGAATGATGCCTGTTGGAGCCAACAGTGAATTTGTTGCTGGCTGGTGGTCATGGCACCTCTCCATTTCTTCCACCACTTGGAGCCCCACCCATGTGCTTCCCAGACCAAACCCAAGGAGACGGAGAAGGGCTGGCTGGCAGCTCCCCACCAGTGCGGCAGGCCCTCCTCACCGCCGGGCCTCTAAGGAGAAAATCGGGGCAGAAAGCCAGAGGCAATGTTTCTTGGCAATTCCGCCCGTGCTCAGGCTTGGGGAGTGGCGGGACCCCCAGGAGACAATCTGGGGTCCAATTGGCTGCCTGCCTCCTAGGCCTATATAGACATTGCCCAGGTCACTCGATACCCCTGAATGTCAACCAAGAGTCATTCCCCAGCTGCTCTCTGGTCTGCGCCATCCTGTGCATGACGTCCTTCGGGGAGGATCGGGATAGGGCCACGTAAACCAGCCCAGAGCTTTGCTGAAGCAGCGGCATCAGTGCTGTTGCTGATGTGAGTTGAGGGTGTGTTGGCTCTGACCCATGGTGACCTACACATCAAGAAGGAAATGTTGCCTGGTCTTCTCGCGCTGTGGCCTTGCTTGCGTGCATAGGCGTGGCTATGTACTAGTGACATGCAACATTTCTGGCCCATCTCCTCCTATGTGCTTGGCACTGGGCAGAGGGCTCGTTGTGCATAGGCATCCCAGTTGCTCTACAATGGGTTACCCTCCCTTCTCGGATGAGAGAAGTCACTCTCTCTCACTAGCACAGTGCAGCGCCAGACCTGCCGCTCATGAAGGCTTGTGCTATCACCCCCCAGTGGAAGCCGTCCAGCCTTCTCGCTTCTCCCCACCCACAGTCGGCCCACAGAGGACCAGCAGACACCAGCCGGGTGTCCCCAACCTGAACAACGCTCCCTTCCTTGGGCCTCTCCTCTTCTTCCCCCGCCACAGACAGAGAAGGTGAGTTTAAAGAGAAACGAGACACGTGACGCGGTCAGAGACATCTGAACACTGCCATCTCAGCCGGCCAAACCTGAAAGGTTGTGAAACGGTGCGGCCCGTTTCAACATTTCAAACTCAAACGCTTGCTCAGCATCCGGCCCCGATCCACCACCCAAAACCAGACTCATGGCCTCGAGCCGATGCCGACCCACAGCCACCCTGTACCTTCCTGAGCCTGAAGGTAGACTTACAACTTGTATCCCACATGGCTCTATGCAACCTGGCAGGTCAGCTTTGCCTGCCCTTTGTTTCTCCCGCTGCACGTTCTCGGATCTGCCGTCACGGTCCCTGTTCTTCTCCAGATCTTCCCAAGCCTCCTCTTCTCGTCTCTCCAGCAGCTCAAGGAACCTCAGTAATTCTAGCCAGCACAGAGCTTTCGCGAAACATACCCTACTTCCCGGTTCCTGTGGTTCTCAGCCCATCCTGGGACCATCCTGGGACCACACGCATCTGGTTTGGGTGTTTCATAAAAACAGAACCCTAACCCTGATGGCCCAGTGGTCCACTAGGACCCTTTGGCCTCTCTTCTCATGGATGGATGCTTTCACCCGCCGCGTGAGAGATCAGTTCCAAAAGTGAGAAGGAGAGAGAGGCGCTGAGGACCCAGCAGGCCAGATGGCAGCCCGGGTCTGGCTCTGGTCCCAGGGCCCCCTCGGTCCTCTTACCTGGGCGAGTAGATCTCGGCCACGGTTGGGCTGGAGCAGCAGCCCATGAAGAAGAGAGGGATGGAGAAGATAAGGGCGATGGTGAGGATGGTGCTGGCCACCCGGGGAATGGTTTGCAAAGAGAAAGCAAAACGCTTCATGAGGATTCCTCCAAACAGCATCCCCAGTGCAGCCGAGGGAAGGTTCAGTGCGCCTGCGGGAGAAGAGGAGAGGAGGGGAGGGGACGGAAGCGACTCAGGTCACAGCTTCAGGGGGAAGCGTTTGCTTCGCTGCACAATAAGAGCAGCACCCAGTGCCCTGACACCGAAGCCCATTTCACCCCAAAACAAAGCACAACAAACTCACTGCTACAGAGTGACTTTGATGCACAGCAACCTGAGGTCAGAGTAGGGCTGCCCTTGGATTTGACTGCCGTTCATTGTAGGAGCAGAGAGACACGTCTTCTCTCCCCTGGAGCAACAGGATGTTTGAAGCTGCTGGTTGCAGGCAGTTGGCTGCCCGATTTGTAATCCACTGTGCCCTATGATGGCAACAGCCCACACTTAATGTGCATGTGCCATTTGCCAGGCACTGTTCTAAGTCCACACGGCAGTGTGATCTCAATCGAGGGCACTGCTCTGTCTGTGCATGGCACGCACAAGGAAGAAATGGGGCCAGAGGGCTATGGGTTGAACGTGCTTTGGGAAGCACCTTCTGTTGCCCGGCCCCTTTGTTGTACCTTCACTGACCATGTGGGGTGATGCCTGCCAGTGAACCAGTCCTGGACTGAAGGCCGGGGAGGTGAGGACCACGTGAGAGGTCAGAAGTGCCAGGGAGCCACCTGCACTGGCCCTGGACTGCCATGGGCACCCATGCAGGAGGCTGGCAGATTGCAAGACCGGCTTTCTGCAGTTTGTTTGGAGACTGGAGGGGTCTCACTCCTGGGGGAATGAGGGGTAGCAGTGAAGGCTGGAAACACAATTCCATTCCCGAGACTGTTAGACTCAGGGACCTCTGCTGTCCGACTGAGCTCAGGGACAGGCCTGTGGCCCAGAGATCTAACTCAGCTGGCAGAGGATTGGCCAAGGCCTGCCAGGTGGGGGGCTTAGGCAGACTCCCAGGAACCCCTGGGGCAGTGGCTATGGGGCTGAGAAGTGTGGTTCACACTGGAGGAGCAGATAATTAGGGTGAATGCAGCCAGGATCAGGTTGCTGAGCTAGGGGGTCCGATGCCCCGAAGGTGCTCCAGGGCTGGGGCAGAGGCTGAGGGCATGGGGGACTCTCTGCCCTTGCTCCACACGCCCAACTCAGAGCCCACCAACACACAGCTATAAGATACCAGTCCATTGTGTAAAAGGAGCCTGTGTCCGTAAGTCAGAGAATGCGTAGAAGCAGTAGGGGGGGGGGGGCACACAACCTGTCGCTGTCCCAGGGGAGCGTCAAGGGAACTGTCCCCTCCTAGTCTGTAGATGTCTGAAGCATTGGTTTTTCACGCTAACCTGTGTTTTTCTAAACCCCAAACAAAAGTTCATTTAAAGAGTCTAGTTTGAGATTAGCATACACGTGAAGAAGAGTCACTCTCCTTTCTCATTAGATGGAGACAGTGCCTAGGAGGAGGTTTCTGTCCCAATCGCTATTGCTGCGCCTCAGACTCAGGGCAACACGCCCACCTCAGGGAGGACTCTGGACAGGCACAGAACCACGCAGGTGCTCCGTGAGGTTTCCAGTGGCCAGCGGACGTTATTCTGAGGGGCCTCTGGGTAGATTTGAACCTCCAACCTTGCCGTTACCAGCTGAGTGTGCCATCTGTTTGCACCATCCAGGGACTCCATCTGGGGTGCAGTAGGACCTCCAACATAATGTGGCTGGATGAAGGGATGTCCCTGAACACAGGAGATACACGTTTTCCCCTTGGGTCCCCTCCCAGCCACTAGAGCAGCATTATGTTTTGTGGGCAAGAGGGAAGAAGGGCTGGCTAGTGGTCTTGTGGGGGCTGGTTAGGGTTGGGTGGGTGGTGGGCATGAGAACAAGAATCTAATAGGAAGAAGAGCTTCTGGGCGGGGATGTTGAGGAAGGTCTCCATCCACTTAAGGACTGAGGGCCAACAGGGCTCAGAGCTGCCCTGTGACTGTCCCCAGGCTCTGGGCACGGGCATGGGTACATCCATCACTGCTTCTCCTGGTTTCTGACTGAGGAAAGGACATTCTGGTCTGGAGCTGATGAGCCTCAGGATCCTGTGGAGGCTGATGGAAGAACAGTGTTTTGCTGGACGTTTGGATCACAGGAGCTCTCTGTAAGGACTTGCTTAGAAGCGACTCCTGACTAATTTCACCAACCAGTTCATGGGACCCAGCAGCTGAGCTGGGTGAAGTGGGCCTGGCTTTCCTGGAGGTTGGCAGCAGCTATGCAACGTGACCATGCCCACGGTCAAGGTGACCTGCTCATTGGGTCCTCACGCTTAGACCCAAAGGGATTTCTACATTAGTGTAGAGTGTGGTACTGGGCCCCTCCTCCAGAGATCTCGGCTTCATTCATCCAGGGGGGTGGGAATGGAGGAGGAGCGTCTAGGCATCTCTGCTTTTTGAAGTTCTCAAGGAAGGGACCTTAGGGATACCTGGTGGCGCTGTGGACTAGGTGTCAGGCTGATAACCCAAAAGTCAGTGGTTCAAGCCCACCAGTCCCTCTGGGGAAGAAAGATGAGGCTGTCTGCTCGTGTAGAGATTTATAGCCTCAAACCCAATGTGGGGTCACTATGTGTAGGGCTGGCTTGATGGCAGTGTCGCTGGGTGTTGCAAGCCATTGAGCTCTCAGCTACTAACTGAACTTGAGTGGTTTGAATCCACTCCCGGGTGCCATAAAAGAGAGGCCTGCTGAAGGGTCAGAGCTATGGCAACCTCTGAAGTAGGGTTCTCCTGTAACCCCCGTGGGGGTCGTCCAGGTGCGGAATCCCACTGATGGCCGCTGCTTTTGCTCTGATGGAGGCACGTTTTGGGAAGGCACTGGACCACCAGCCACAGTTCAGAGCCATCTGCCATCCCCAAAGAGAAAGATGAGGACTTCCAGCCCCCAAGCTCTACACAGGGTCCCCATGAGCCTCCACGGACGCGGTGGCAGTGGGTGCTTTGTGAGCTGTGTCCGGTTTGAGAAGCACTGGCAGCACATTGCCTTACCCAAGCAAATGCACACAAGTCCTAGGAGAAGAACGCCTGTGACCAGCCTCAAATTCCATCCCCCCATCTCCTTCCTCTGTGGCCCTCAAGATGTCAGGGCCTTTGGGAGGCTGTCAGACTTCCAAACCCGCTGACGGGGAGGAAGGCAGTCCCCAGCCCCCACCCATGTAGGAAGGGGAAACCCTGAGATGACCTTCTGACTGGAAAGATAGGGACCCAGAAACCTGCCAAGAACATTCTGGATCGCCAATCAGGAAAAATGCCCTTCAAATCCTTTCTCCTCCGGCTCCTGCCTGTGTCTGGTCTGGCCTTCGTACCTCTCTCCCCCTGCCCCTGTGGGTGACCGGAGACCTGGCCTCGCCCTCGGGCAGGCCCACCAGCTTCTGCTGTCCCTGGCCGACTCACCGATGAGGAAGTTGGCATAAGCTGCAGAGGTGCCATACTGCTTCTCCAGGTACTTGTTGAGGAACGTGGAGAGGCCGGCGATGACGGAGGAGAAGGTACACTGGGCCAGGACCACCAGCATGAAGAGCGGGTTCATCAGGAGCTTTAGGAAGATGCGGGGGAAGCCTGCAAAGGGACCATTGTGAGGGGCCCGGCTTTCAGGACAGACTGACCATCGAAAAGGTGCTGTGAGACAGAGGGCCACTGCCCTTCTCCTTTCTTCCAGGGCCTTCTCTTCCCTACTTCAGAGCGGAAACAGAGGCAATAAACACGCTCCTAGGCCAGCCCAGAAGCACGCAGCCACTGAAGATTCGCACACAGCACGCTCACAGACTAAAGGAAGTAAGGGTATGCCTACGAGGGATCATCAGGCTGCGGGCAGACGGAATGACGACAACATCGGGGACAGTCCCCTCCACACAGAGGAGAAGGAGGAACACAGAGGCCAGGCCACGGGATGGAGGTGGGGCTGAGCCTGCCTGGAGGTCTGGCTTACATTCGGGGCTCCTGGTACCTGTGATGAAGCAGAGGCCCCAGGCCCCATCCCTGGTGACACCCCTGCCGAGCTGCAGGAACACGTGGAGGTGAGGACCACCTGTTGCTACCGTGTAGGTTGGGGCACACCCTGACTACCCCCCACACCCCCGCCCCCGAGCCAGTCCATGCAGGGTCTCTGGGCAGACGCTTACATTTAATGAAAGCCACCAGCGTCTTTCTTGACTCGACTTCTCTTATCTTTCTTCTCTCGTCCTCCATGGAAATGGAATCAGACTCCTGCCGGCAGAAAAGGAGTGAGTGGTGATGCCCTGCAGCTACCCTTCCCGGGGCCCTTGCCTCCTCTGGTCTCTGGGGTTCCATGCCACCTGCCTCCCTTTCTAAAGCTCTTCAAGCTGAAGTCATGGGCTCGGGGCACCTTACCTCCAGTCCTTGGGACATCGATCGAGGGAAGAAGAAAAAGGGGCAAGAGATGACAACCAGGCAGGCCGAGGAAATGAGCAGGCCCAGCCACCAGGCTCCAATCCATCGGGGGTCGCCGGGGCTCAAGTTAACTGTGGCTGCAGAGAGACCGAAGAACACAGGGGTTTGTTACCTGAATGTCTGAGCTCGGCTTACTACACAGAGACCTTCTGTTCAAGGGGCATTTCTGTGGCTTCCTCCTCCAGAGGGAGAGGAGCTAAGCCATGAATGCCCTAAAGCGAAGACGTTCTAATCTTCCCAGAGACACAGTGCCCCTCGCTGCACGTAGGCCAAAAACACCCACGGGCTGAAGGACGCCACTTTCACCACTTCTTCTTTCATCCCTAACTCGTGGCAGGAATAACGATGAGGGCAGCTGATCCCCTGGAGGTCACAGATCACGTGTTTTACGCGTGTTATCCCACTGGGTTCTTTTGGCAAGTGTATCCGCCTCTAACCAATCTCAAAACTGGAGACCCGAGGTTACGTTTTTGTTCTGGTTCCAGGCTCTTAAGTGGCAATTCACTGATCAATTTTAAACCTAGTGCCCAAATCCGCACTCTTCTTACTGAACCCTTCTGGCCCCCAGCTTTACTGTCCCCTAGAAAAACGAGGCCCCATCAGCCTCTGGGGACCCAGCCACCTGTCATCAGCAGGGTGTGGTCTATGAAGGGGAAGCTTTCTCCCTGCCCACATGGCAGTCTGCTGCCGCTGCCGTGTTTCCCTACGAAATGCGCACGGGCAGACGGAGAAGGCAGAAGCGTGCCCCATGACAACAGGCGTTTCTGCACACTTGCCCAAGATGGGCGATGCCGTTGGTGGCCTCGTGGCTGGCCTGGCCCAGGGGCAGGAACTCCCTGGCTTTCCTCTTCCATCTGCAGCACTGATGACAGTGCCGGGGACAGGAGTCTGTGGGCTTTGGCAGCATGGCTGGGTTTCACTCCCACCCAATTTCTTTATGAGACCAGAAGGCTCTGATCTGTGTGCCAGGCACTGGTGGGGTGCCATTTTTAAGGGTCTGGCTCAGACCTGCCTTCCAACTACACCGGCCAGCAAGTGGAAGCCCCACAAGCCACCTCCACACTCTCCACACTTTCCATCCGTGGCTTTGTTCAGGTGGTGCCCTTCATCTGGGAATGCCTTCACCCACCTGGCTACCTGTGGAATTCCATCCTGCAAATGTTACCTCTGGAGGAAGCCCCACTTGGGTCCATCATTCGTTTGGTCCCTTCTTCCTTGGAATTTCCAAAGCACATTGCCGGTCCCTGGGTTCTGACACTGACCCTCCCTGGCTGGTGGGAAGTTAGGTCTGTGTAGGCCAAGCTTAGAGAGGCAATAAGCCCTGGCTAGAGTCCCCCGTAACTGTTGACAGGAGGAGAAAGCAGTTCTGCCCTGTCCTATCGGACCCTATGAGGCAGCATCGACTTGATGGCAGAAAGAAGGAAGAAGTCATCCTGAAGGAGCCTGGTGGTGCAGTGGTTAAGCACTCCGCTAGTAATCAGGACATCAGTGGTTCAAACCCACCAGCCACTCTGTGGAGGAAAAGGATGGACGTCTGCGTCCGCAGTAAATACTGAGGTACTGGAAACTGTATGGGCCATTCTACTCTGTCCTGCAGGGCCACGGCATCCAAATCAAGGCAAGGGCAATGGCTTTGGTTTGCTTTTTGGATTCATCCTGGCCTTGTCCGTGTTCTGCATTTTCTCATTCGAAGGTCCACAGTAACTGATTCTATACTTTTTCTTTTTTTAAGAATAAGAGATCACACTTATTTACCTCTTAATAGAAATCAAACATGTTATCATCTTCACAGCAATTCTATTTCACTGATATTGCCCCATTTTGTTGACGAGGAAATGAAGCCCGGAAAGGCGGTGATTCGCCCAACATCTCTCAGCTAGTCCCAGGGGGAGCCAGGACGAGACGCGGGCAGCCCAATGCTGGTATCCGCATTCTTAAACCAGCAGCCCGGCCCTCTGATGAGAGTCACCACCCACATGTGCATTTTATGTAGTGCCTTAAAAACAAAAAAAAGCCCTCCAAAGAGCTCTAATTTTTTTTTTCCTAAAGAAATCAACATCTTAGAAACCCCAGACCATATCATTTGTTTTAACAAATTCTGAATGATGGGAACTGTGTGGGCAACACCAGAAGCTCACCTGGTCCTCAAGAGCTCCTCACTGCAAACCTTTCTTGTGAAGAGATGGGGGGACATACTGTCTGCGCCCGGTGGTCTGAGGGGGGTCAGAGACATGGTGCTGGGCACCGGCAGTGGAAGCCACCCAAAGTGCCGTGGCATTTTCGGCCCTGACTAGACAGTGGGGGCTGCCTGGTGGACTGGCATCCTCTCCACACACTCACCCGTGTCTACCCTGCCGTAGTCCACGAAGATCTGCAGTATGACCGAGCTCAGCAGGTACCCGAAAGCTGGTCCAAACACAGCGATGGCAAACAGGATGGCTGAAAACAGAGCAGGGGTTGGGGGGGGGGAAGGAGACTGAGGGGCTTGAGTGGGATGACAACCTCACGTTCCCAAGCTGGGGGGGATTCCCGTGATGTCACCACCCTCGGTACCCTGGTCCTCACAAATGTGCACTGATGGCACCTCTAAGAAGGAGCTGTTGCCATGGTAGCATTTGAAAGCAGCCAGCCCAGGCTTGGGTTGATGGGCAAAGCTTCCCATAAGGCTGGTGGTCCAGGCGGAGCGTGTGAGGCCAGTGAGCCTGGTTGGGGGGGGGGGCAAATTTGGCTGGTCAGGGGTGCAGGCCCCGAGGATGCTGAATGTGGTTGGCTTCAAGGGGGAAGATGTGCGCACGCACGTGGTCATCCACAGTCAGTTTTGCATTTCCTTGAGCCCAGCCTGTCCTTGGGGACATGTTTGCCTGGTCTGGGTCCAGACCAGGCACCCAGGTGGTGCAGTGCTAGCTGCAAGGTCAGCTGTTTGAAACCACCAGCCATTCCGTGGGAGAAAGACTGTAGTGATAGTCTTGGAAACCCACAGGGGAAGTTCCACCTTGTCCTATAGCAGTGCTTCTCAACCTTCCTAATGCCTCCGCCCTTTAAGACAGTTCCTCATGTGGTGTTGACCCCCCAACCATGAAATTATTTTCGTTGCTACTTCATAACTATAATTGTGCTACTGTTATTAATTGGGCGACCCCTGTGAAAGGATCATTTGACCTCCAGAGGGGTCGCATCCCACAGGTTGAAAACGGCTAGATTAGAAGAACTGCCGGAGGGAGTCCCGCCACGTTTCCATCGATCTTGGATCCACCTGGCTCCAACCACTGGCCTGTGATCTCCCTGCCTT